GGACTTATTAAGAGTAAAACTCAGCCTAGCCAGCTGTATCATAAGAGCATCGTCACCATAGAGAAGGGGTAGTAGCAAATGCTACATAATGATATATAAATATATCTAGGTCGATGCTCCACACGAGAGTCACTTGTCCAGCTTGTTTCTACCACATTGAACCGACATTGGGACTACGTCTCCAAATAAGGGTTGGGTTGCCGCTGTCAGTGACCTCATCTATGGGCTTAACCCCATCTCCCTCGATGAATCCAGAACCACACTCCTGGATAATCCCTTAGTCAAAGGGTCATCAAGATTCTTTTCACAGACTTTACAAAGTCTAGAATCATAACTTTGCCTAGCAGGCGTTGTATTTATTTATCAAGTTCTTATTTTGTAATTAGTCCATCATATTGTTTGAAATTGACATTAGGTCATGATCTATGATCATAAAAGATCATAGTCTATGTCTGAAGAGATTGACCTTAATATCTGAACATTTCAAACTAATGTGGAACTAAAAATTCTGCAGTTATGCATATGCACATACATGAATGAAATTAATAATAGATACATGCAGAGCATAATAGGATTTCGTATCTTAAAATATATTTTCGTATCTTAAAATACATTTCATACTTCATAATTCAAATGCATAAAATTTTTAAAATTCTTCTATTATAAGAGGTTACAAATTGGTTGCCTACAAAGGAGACCGTCCAAATTTAAATCGGTTGCCTACAAATGAGACCTTCCAAATTTAAATTGGTTGTCTACAAAGGAGACCTTCCAAATTTATGTTGCCATTTTCTAGTACCACCTCTTATACAAATAATAATAATAATAATATTTGTACATACGTGCTTTAAATTTTACAAGTGCATTCTTGCATAAAACCTTGTAATTAATCATGTAAAAAATGCAAGTTATCTAAAAAGATATATGAGCATTTATTGCAATATTCATCAAAATGCAATAAAAATGATGAACTTTACATTTGAATAATATAATTCACCATATAAAATAGAATTTTAAAAGATGCACCTCTTTGATTTGGTTCGCTCATATATTGATCATTTATCATTAGGCAAAATATGATGCAAGAAGCGTAATTAAATAAATGCATATGAATTATTCTCATAATTCCGGTCCTCTTATTCCAAAAACTCCTAAAGTGAAAAGATTAAAGTTTTACCCGGGTAGTTAGCCAGGTAAGGATAGTAATAGAGGTTGATCAAAGATCAATTAAGTACATCGTTCCTTACAGAGCGCGTTACGCAACCCTTAAACCTTGCCTTAGACACCAACTAATCCAAGAAAACTTGAATCGGTTCACTCAATGAGTTTTTGTTCCTTAACAGTATATAGAAACTTTAAATTATTTCCTGCAAGCATTATCTGCTGCAGACAACTGCCACATAAGTTGCTGAACAAATTTGCATTCACTTTTACCACCTTCTGTACTAAGCTTATTAGATGCATAAATACACTAAAGTATGAAATTATTAATAATAGAAGGTACCATATTGATAGGTTAAAGAAATAAAAGCATTAAACCCTGAAAAAATCCAGATATTTCAAAGCATTTATGCATCCAGAGTTTGTTCTCTTTATTCTTGTCAAAACCATGCTATGAAATTTTCAAGAATAAAAATGTGCATTGCTACAAATTTATAGCATGTTTCAAATGCGAGCATATTCACTAGCACAAGGGAATAAGGGTACGCTTTAGATGATTCTAACAAATATAAACTAGGCTTTTAGAAACCAATAAAGGTTCTTTGATATTCGTAACTTACAATAATTATTGATTATAAACCAACTATAAGACAAATGTAATTAACTGTTAAATTAAATTAACAGAAATATTTAGCTACAATTTTTTAATTATTAATTTTTTTTTTAAAAATAACCAAAACTGTTTACATGAACAGTAACTTTTTAAATAAAATGAACAGTGCCGTTTTCAAAATAAATGAACAGTAACATCATTTTTAAAATTAAACAGTAACGTCATTTTTTAAGAATGAACAGTAACGACATTTTTATAAATGAGCATTAACATTCTTAAAAATAAATAAATAGTAACGTTCTTTTAAACAAATGAACAGTAACATTCATTAAAATGAATGAACAGTAAAGGTTTTTAAAACATTAAAAACTGTTTTAAATGAACAGTAATGTTTTTTAAATAAAATTAAAATCTGTTTTTTTTAATGAACAGTAAAATCTTTATTTTGGAATGAACAGTAACAGTTACATTTTTTTTTAAATCAAATCAATAATACTAATAGATAAACAAATATATAATTAAAGCAATTACATTTTCTTTGTGTTAATAACAACTATAAAATTCCTTTTTTTTTTAAACAGTAACAAAACTTTTTTTTTTTAACAAAAAGTTAATTAATAGATAAGCAATTTAGTAGCAATTTTCTTTCTGTTTTTTTAACTCGGATGAACAGTAACCATCTCGAATGAACAGTAACTTTAAAAATTATTTTTCCGGATTTAAATCAAAAGCTATAAACATCTCAATCTTCTAGATTGTTGGGAATTTATTAAATAATTAAGATTATAGCTTGCAGATAAATCCAAAAATTAAACAATTAAAACTGGCCTGAACGGGAGCAGTCGTGTATTCACTGCCCTAGAAGATTGAGAACCCGCCTATCGCCCTGGCGCAGATGGTTCCCTCCCCCTAGCGGTAAAAACCCCCGGAAACGGCCGGCCTCTACACTCGGGCGAGAGTGCAGAGCTTCAGCTCAGATGAAGGAAGTTGCACATAAAATAAAACTAAGATGTAGATGAAAATAATATGTAGGGGAGAGAAGAAAAACAAGAGAAACTTGTTGTATATTTTTTCTTATTCTTCTTATTATTTTGAGCTCAACATACGGATATATATATAGGGTTGGAAAAGACGTTACAAAACCCGTAATTAATTCTGTAACGTTCGTCATAAATTTTGTAACGTTCCCCATAATTATATATCCGTTACACATATTTTTAATTGCATGTTTTAATTACAATATTTATTATAATTCATGAAGGCAAAATTGCCTTTTGTTAACAAAATATCTAACACTACTAACTCTGAAAACAAAGAATTTGGGATCGGAGGAAGGAGATGACCGCTATATGGTAAAGTTTGTGTACATTTTCTTCGTTTTCCCCTGCATGCTATTTAAATAGAGAACAAGAGCAAAAACTATAACCCTTCTGAAGTCGTTCATCACAAGGATTACATAGCATATAATCATTTAGGAGGTGCATTGTTCAAACCTGAAGCTATGAGGTTCAAAGAAAAAATGGAGAATTTTTTGAAATAGGACGGTTTTGATAAATATTTAGTAAAACCGACTGTTTTTCTAAATATTTAGCAAAACCGTCCTCTTTTTTTGCCAGCGCACCAAAGCTAGACAAAAAAGAGGTCGGTTTTGCTAAATAGAGGTTTCGAAACACATGGGACTAGTACTCCCATGTGTTTAGTGGCAGCTAATCGGCCCATAAACAAGAATCAGAAAACCCATGGGACTAGTCGTCCCGTGGGTTTCTTGTTACTTAGCAGAAACTATAATTGTAACTAAAAAGTACAGAGAAAATTATAAAAAATTAGAAAATTTTACTTTGATGAAGTGTTGAAATTTGTCGGCATCAGAGAGGTTAGATAGCGTCGGAGTTCAACAATGTCGGAGTGAACTTTTGGGAAGATCCTCAGTTTGGGTTTGGAGAAAAGGAGAGAGAGAGAGAGAGAGAGAGAATTAAGGGAGAAGGAGATGACGTGGGAGAGGATGAAATGGGAACGAGAGATTGGAAGAGAGTTTATCCAAATTGGGGGTTTTTTTTTGAGGGAGAGAGATCGGGAGAGAGAGGTGGGTTGAGAGAAATGGACGTGCCCGAATTTTTGGGCGTAGCTAGGGCTTATATAGGCTCAACAAATAGAAACTACTAGTCTTGTGTATTTGCTGGGTCAACAGAAGCCAAAGGCTTTGCTAAAACCACAGGACTACAAATAGGGACTACTAGTCCCGTGTATTTGCTGGGTCAACAGAAGCCAAAAGGCTTTGTAAAAACCACGGGACTTGTAGCCCCGTGGGTTGCTATTGTGCAGAAAACCCACGAGACTATTAGTCGCCTGAATTTTCTGATTCTTGTTTAGGCGCCAATTAGCAGCCACTAAACACGTGTGTTTCGAAACCCCTATTTAGCAAAACAGACCTCTTATTGGTTAGCTTTGGTCAGCTTGTCAAAAAGATATCGGTTTTGCTAAATATTTAGCAAAACAATCATTTTTGCTAAATATTTATGAAAATCGTCCTATCCTTAAAAATCGTCCTATTCTAAAAAATTCTCCAAGAAAGATAGGACATGCAAATGTACTCCCAATAATTATTGTATCATATGCCCTGCATCTTCAACTCTTCTATACATTTACTCTAAAAGGATTTAAGAGTACTGCTTTCACTTGTATGACGTAAGAACTTAATGTTACTAGTAAGGTAGGAAAAAGCCTTCCTACCTTTCAGCTCTTTTTATGTATTATGACAATCTCCCCTCTCGTCCCCAACTCGTTGGTTAGGAATTTGGCAACAATTGATACATAAGAACTAAAGCCAAGATTGTGATAGTATTTTCAATACGCAGCTGTATGCGGGAAAAGGATTAAAACAATTTGAAGTTACACAGTGAATTTACATCTCCCCTGCGGAAAATCAAAGCATTGACTAAAGTAGTTGATATTTCCTTCTATCATACGAGCCCCTTTTACCAAAGTTCGAGTTCGCTGTTCATCAATGATTATTAATGTAACTGCATTAAACCCAAACAATAATAATAAATTTCAAGACGATGAAAATGTATCAAACAACAATAATATTCAGGGTCGTATAATAAAATTCAAGACGATGAAAAATGTATCAAACAACAATAATATTCAGGGTCATATAATAAAGTTCAAGACGATGAAAATATATCAAACAAGCCAACAAGAAGAAAATAATAGAACTGAATTAGGATTCACTTTTTACAACAAATAAATTCCTATTCATAAATAATATTCAGTGGCATACACTTTATCACCAACGTCTCCCTCCACCATACAATTAACAGAAATTACAACATACTATAAGCTTAATCTCTCTGCATCAAAATAGGGAAAATAAAAACATAAATATATAAACTTACAACACCTTCTTAGGTTACAAATGATCCACCTGAACTGTGGCTTCAGTAACAAGATATCTGGCCTTTGGCAAACTCGTATGAGAACCGTTGAAAAAATCGCAATCAGCTAAGAAAAAGCTATGAAGCTAAGACTAAAGTAGTACACAAGCCAAAACTACCAAAAAGGTCATAGTTGGAAATGACGAGGGGATTAAGGAGTGTGGGCTAGCGTTGGGCAACCATGGATATGCATCGGGAGGAGGCATCACACAGTTATCACCATTGAAGTATATACGACGAGGAAAGGCCCATCCCTTGTCAAAAGTGAAGGTCGATTGGTCCTTGCGAAAGAGAAGTTCTGATTGCACGTTTCCGTAAGGCCCCGCTTCCATGAGCAAATCGTTGTAGAATTTGACTCCCCATAGCATTGCAGTATCATCTGAGGGATCAAATAAAACAGATGATGTTATTCAAAGGTAAATATCACGAAACCCCCAACAACTTATGAAGGCTTCACCCAAAACTCCATCAGCTTTAGGAATTTATCATTAATGGAGTTAAGATGCAAGAAAAAATGTCTAAAATACCCTTTTTTGAAAAAGAAGTGGGTGGAAACTCATAGGTATTGATGAAATTTTATTTGGTAACCAGGGCGAAAAATGTGCATTTTGGGTCATGTGTGGAGCATGTGCAGGTTAAACTTAACAGTGTCAATCATGGCAGAAAAGTGAGACCATTATAGGGGATTTTGCGGAATTTACAAAGTACCAGGGGGTGTTGTGTTCAACAGACACCCAAAGTCAGCAGCAGGGGCTGGGGTGTTCTAAAATTTATTCTTTAAGTTTAATGATCAAAGGCAGACCCATTCTAAGTCTTTCAGATTTTAAATAGTAGAAATCTTATTATAGCATGGTAATGCGAAAGAGTATAACCAAGAATAATGGAAAATACTAAAAAAGTGAAATGATAAGCAGAAAAAATTGGGTCTGCTTAGTTCCTTAAATACTAGCAAACGCAAGATCTAGAATCACAAAGAAGTCATGCCTGCTAGCTAAGGTGTATCCATCTGAACTCTAAGCAGCCCAAATCCTCAAATGAGATGTAAAATTTAAAAAAAAAGGAAAAAAGGAAAAAAGGGAAAAAATAGTTATAGACTAATGTAATAACTACATTAGAATTAACAAAAAAGTAGACAAGGCTAATAAGTTTAACTTACTTATGGATGAATAAGGGGTCAAGGACTTGTAGTTGAAACTAAATAGTGTAGTTAGATTGTCAAGATTAGGGTGCTGAACCACCAAGTTCCACTGCGTGTAGTTCATCCGATAGTTGAAGTTTGTTATTGTAACCTTCACTCTCCAATATTCTTTGTAGTTGAGCTTGACATGCCAATGCACTCTTATAGGACACATATGAGATGTGCATTGAACCAAAGGTGTGAATGTGCTCTTGCCTGGGCCATTGACAGCAGACGCTAAATAAGGTGAATCTCCCCTGTTTCAACAAAGCATAGTACATTAATAATTAAAACTAATATAGAAATATTATGTGATAATAAAAATGGAAGATGAATATTAGAACCTACTCTACACAGCTTCCAGGTTGAGTTATGTTATTTTGGCATCCACATGTGCATGTAGGGCAGTTGACAATGGTGTCATTATAGAAAGAGGAAAGAGAGACGCAGCATGTAGGGGTCTTCTGAGACAGAAATTGGGAGTATGTGCATGTAACGTTCCATGTCACTGCAAGAAAGTTGGAAAGAGTTATAAAGGATCGGAATTAGTTTATATTAATCTTTAGGTTTCAACCTGAAAATACTCAATCATCTTAGTAAGACCAAATGTAAATTCTAAGCACCCAAAAATCAACAATAGGAGAATACATAGTACAAAATACAGAAAGAAAATCATGACATGTGTCTCACTATTAATCACAACTGAATGCAATTATCATACAAAATATCAATACAATCACTACTAGTATAATCGGAATATTTTATCGGTACAATCATCAGCATATTGTACAGTATTGACTACAGTATCACTAGAATCACGAACTTCAAAATTAATACTGGACAGTTGCGATCTCCTTACTCTTTAATCTACATGATTTTCCATAGATAACCTTCTACAGGTGGCGGGTATCAAATTTTCGTTGTGATAACAAGCAAAAAGGAAAAAGCTATCTTCAAAACAGTGAACATATTTTTATTCATACATAGACCAATGACATTGTTTTCACGACACACAGTTACAGGATGTTACATAAAGTAGCACTTGTCAAAAACCAAAAAGCAACAAAACCGACAACGAAAAACACACAAATTCCTTGTATTTTAGCAATGACTAGAAAATTGTACACATTAGAATTGAGACTTTCTAACAACCATCCAGTTTCAAATAATTGGGAAACTCTTATATTGTGATTAGAATAGAAAAAGAGTGAAAATGTTTAAGAATCAAAGGTGGGTTCCATGATTGCCAGAGATCTTCGAAATCCTCATAAAATGTGAGGCCTCAAGCATCTGGACATTTCTATCATTTTATTAACCATTATTAGAGTATACTTTGATTTACTACAATATCCTAAATTTAATATTTTTTCCATTGCCAATAAGAGGCTCACTACCGGACATTTGTAATGTGCTACAAGCAGTATGAAAATTTCTTAAAGTGATATCACCGGAAAGATTCTCGAAAATTGCATCACATAGTGATTCAATGTAAGGTTGCATACAGTAGACCAAATTGGTCCGACCCCACCATGCCCGTGCATAGTGGGAGCTTGGTGCACCAGGCTGCACTTTTTGTGGTTCCAAGGAGAATCTATGCAGTTAGCTAGCACTAAAAGAAGGGAAATCTGATGCACATAACTCCACCATCCACAGGGTCTGGGAAATGTTGGACCATTGGTTTTACTGTGTACAGGCTTATCTTGCACATGAATTATCTGCACTATTTATGTGAATCCAAGTGTCAAGACTAAGACTTCTTGCTGAGTGAAAAATTTTGACTTTCAAAGTTGACATTCACAAGTCATCCCTTTAGAGGTGCAAAGGTTAATTTGCTTCTTATCATCGATATAGTGGTAAACTTTCTAAAAGCCTTTTTTTTAAGTTCTGATGTTTTACTATATCTTGCTAACTTTAACGAAGAAACATCAAACTTTAGCATTGAGCACGCAAGTACAAAGGTACATTAAAGAAAAGCAAAACTATAATCAAGGTAACAAATTTCAGCCGAAGAGAAGCTTTATCATTCACTTACTCAGAGCCTGAGTCGTTCTCCTTCCATCTTGTGTAGTAAATTTAGTTGGCTTAACAATCTTTGCAAGCCCACAAGTATACCCTGGCCCAGGGGCTTTGAGCGTGAAATTCTTCGGTACACGCACAGTCTTGTTCGTGGTCCCCGCAGCTCCCACACTGACCTGGAAGGAACTTGCTGCATTTGCCGGATCTTGAACCCATGAATTGATGACTCCACCTTTGCAACAATTAGCGATCTGCATGTTATATGGAGTGCCGGGGAGGAGATCAACGACGGTTGGATCCTTCTTACAGCAATGAGGGATGTTGCCCTTATACTTGGAGCAATCCCCTTGCTCGGTAGTTTGTGCCCCAACCATGGACCAGATCACCTCTTTCTTTGCCCACGCCCATCCTAGTGTCCAGCCTGGAGCTTGTATATGACGATACTGCTGGAAGTTGAACATAGTAACGACAGCCTATACAGATTGAAAAAATGATGAATCTTTTGGTTAAATTTATGAAGAGATAATATTATGCTATTATTCCCTAGATATATACTACTATGATCTATTTACGTAACACAGAAGACACATTACTTACAACATATCCATCTGGAGTCCACTGCATGATATCCCATTTAATGGTTATATTTCCATTTGGATCAAGCGAATCATAAGCTTCTGAGAGAGAAAAAAAAAAGAAGGTAATGCCCAAATCAGTTAGCAATTTGACCTAAAGATATATGCAGAAACAGAAAGTAATTAATTCAAAAGGCAAAAACAAAAGCAATATTGTTCCGCGCAAATGATCAAAAAGCAGAAAACTAAATCTCAAGTACAAGGCTACTAGCTACCCCTAATTGCACTCGTTTTAGTCTTAAATTTCCTGAATTATACGATAAATTATTCTCAGCATTTTAATTTAAGTAACCACCCACTTCTGGGATTACCAGTTGGTTGCCAATGATGCAAAGTGAATTCGATATCAAATATCCTAAGCTTTATGATTTTAACACTTAAACCTGAGAACTAAACACATTGAAGCATTAAGATCTGAATCCCTGCGGAAAGAATCACCGAATAGTTACAGGTATCAGCCTGAAATCACTGAAAAATAAAGGAATCCACAAACAAAAGATAAGGCTAGATCCACCCTAAGATCCAAATTAAAGAGTCCACTTCAAAGATTCATGAATGCTCAATCTACGAAATGATCATCCGGTAGGAGCTCCATCGACTGTTCTTAGCTTTAACCATATTGCATTATTAGCAGAAGAAAAAAATATGAAAACAGCCCAAAAAGATCAAATTTTGAGAAGATTAAAGAACAAATTCAAAGAACGGAGAGGATGGGCGCTTGCCTGTTGATGTTATACTTGAGAAGACAAAAAGGAACGCGATGGAAGCGGCCAAAGATGCGAGCTTCGAGATGGGTCTGCAAGTTTCAGTCTCCATTGCTAATAGGGTGCAAGATCTTGGATCTGAGCTCTGCTGTAGTGGGAAAGAGCCCTCTATATAAATTGTCGTATTAATGACTGGATTTTACTCCCCATGCGGCCGGTGAAAGTTAAAACAGAGCTTGAACTGTAACTCAAGAAGTGCCTCATGGTATTCCCAAAATACCCTTTCACTTGTCAAAACTAATTGGGACTTTGATACAATTAATTAGCTGGAATTGCCAAAATACCCTTTTCTTATGTAAACCGAACCGGCCTTTTATGAATTAACAAGTGATATAGCTATTGAATAATACGTATGATATAGTTTCTTTATATAGTTTTAGTATAAAAAGGTAATATTCATATCGTTGATTTGATAAAGTAATTTGTAAGATAAGGTGAGTGGAGTGAGATGAGGAGAGAGAGAGAGAAAATACAAAATAAGCTACAATTATAAAGAAAAATCCTTTCGATTTGAAAGGGCAAAGATACAGGGAGAGGATATTTATTTTGTTAAGACTTTTATATCCTCATGTGTTTTGTATAATTACCTAGTAACATTTCTTTATTCAAATCCTATCACATTCTCATAAAGAAATATTAATATATTTTAATTAACTTACCCCCATCATTTTTGATTTCTCATCCCTTCAATCAAACAGGAAAGAAAAATCACATACCGCCCTTCACCTTTTCTCCGACCAAACGAAGAGAATAAAAGATATAACGCCGCCTTATCTTCCCTCCTCATATATCTACTAAACCAAAACAAAATCATATTTTTGTTATATTTTGAAGTGTCCTCTGTATACCAGTCAGAGAGCAATCATGTCCATAAACTCACTATTCTTTAATAAACTACGAACTTCATGTTCAACTTGATTTAAAATAAAAGGAACAGAGCATTTGACCTTACAAAAGCAATTATCATCTAGTAATCAGTTTGCTATATATTAATTTTAGGAGTTTTTATGTTATAAGACCCCTAGATCTTCCTTATTTCTAAATAACCCCCTCAAATCTTGATATTTCTAAATAACAATAACCCCCCCGGCCCCCAAAAAAAAGAAATTCATGTAAGTCGAAGTAACTCATGTTGTCACCATCACTGTTAAATTTTTGTTTTTGATGCACCGTTATGCCCTTGATTGCAACAATTGTCAAATTGTATTCACCCCTTTTATAAATAACCCCCTAATTAAAAGGATGCTGAGTTATTGGAGTTATTGACCAAGGCTATTATTATAATTTAACCTACATCGTTAAGGGTCAGCCATGGTTGGGTAAGTCATTTGGATGGAAAACATTCATGAGGAGGTTTTTTCAACAACTACATGATTTGAGGGGCCTATTTAGAAATATCCAGATTTGGGATTGTTACTCAGCAATAAGTAAGATTTGGGGATCTTATATCATAAAACCCTGCCTTTAAAAGAAATTTGTTCGCCAAGTGGGCATAGCGGTCATTCATACATCTTGTGAGTTATGTTCGAGCATCACAAGGGAGGTTACAAGTTTAGCCCACCGACAGTGGTTGTGAGCGGTATCTTGCACAAGCAGCAATTTAACAAAACCCATATCCACACCCTCTCCCAGAAAGCGGGTCCTACTTTTCAACAGATATTTTTCTTGTATGTTTCCCAATTTTTCTGTAGTGTCAGGTAGAGGAATGCTTTTTTTAATTCCCTGAGGTCAGTTGTAGAGGAATGCTCTTATGTCAGTTTTTTTTAACCCTGAAATGCAAATTGGGTTCAATGTATAACAATTCATGTTTTTAAGTTGAGACATCTATATCATTAGTTGGTATGCAATAACCATCAAAGTCATTAATTTGTCCATCAACATTATTCATTACTACTGATACTTTTGTTTAGAGGAGTTTATCATCATCCTTCTTTTTATTACTACCATCTCGATCATCATTAATATATGAACTTGTAGGCGTCTAAAAATGCCTATAGGTGTCCGCATACAGCTCGAGACGGAGAGAAGACGACGAACATCGGTATCCGAGTCTAAGAGGATTATCTGACGCCGAGAAATGCATGAACCGGAATGGTGAACCAACTATGTCCCGTGCGCTCAGCGGCTACCCCCAAGTGACCACATGCGCGCGTCAATCAGCTCGCATGCGTCGGTCAACACGCGTGCCTCAATCAACTTGCGCCCGTCAGTCAACGCACGCACACGTCAATCAGCTCGCATGTGTCGGTCAACACACGTGCGTCAATCAGCGCGCGCCCGTCAGTCAATGCGCGCGCACGTCAATCAGCTCGCGCACGTCAGTCAACGCGCGCGCACGTCAATTAGTTCCCGCGCGTCAGTCAGCTCGCACACGTCATTTAGTTCGCACGCGTCGGTTAACACACGTGCGTCAACCCAACGCGCACGTTGGTCAGTTCCAAGTGCCGCAAAGAAGCTAGCGAGCGCATAAAGCAAGTTAACGTCGTGTGCAAGTCAACGAGACGATCAAATACATGAAACGGCGAAAAGTACAAGTCTGGGGAAGTCGAAAAACCAAAAGAAAGCGACAGGCCTCGGAACCCGCGCTAACGCGGAATGGCCGCAACTGACCCGCTGTGACGCCCCTGTTTTCACACATGACTGCAGTCCAAGGTGAACCCAGAGATGTCAAACATGCCATGCACCCACGCTATGCAACAACAAGTTTCACCAATCACAGTAATATCCTCTAGTGGGATCAAATAAAAGCGTAGGTACCAAACAGGCAAAGAAGTAGAACGACAATAATAGACATGATAAAGAAGATGATATCTCATAAATAAAGGTCATGCCTCAACTGAAAATAAACTAAAATACATCTGGAGTCTGAAATAACATACGATGTCTCAACATGAATCAAAACGGAAAGTCGAACTAAGGCACATTGCCTTTACAAAATGGAAATAAACTCTAAGTCTGAATAAAATTTAAAACTACAGTGGAGCCTCTAATAAATCTCTCGGGACGGCGACTATGTAAGAACTCCGTCATCCTGCGGCTCTCCGGAACTCTGAGCTACCTAAAAGGGTATTTTTAAAAGAAAAAGAAACAACAATAAGAGCGTCAGAGCGCTACAGCAAGATTACCTCCATCTGTCCCCAGGGAAAGGGTTACTAGGTGGAGTGAAGGCTCTATCTATTAAGCATACTCTACCTAGATTTATTTTTCCCGTATCTAAGTAGGATTAACATTTAGAAACCTACAACACGAGACGTAGTACGTCGAGCGAAATAATCCAAACAAGGAAACCCTCATGTATATACCATAAGTCTCAAATTGTAGATATCTAAACATTAATACCGAACTAAGAAAAGACAATCTAATGAAACCAACAATTAGAAATCCATAACACGAGACTGGTACATCGACCGAAATAATCCAAATAAGGAAACCCTCATGTATATACCATAAGTCTCAAATTATGAATCTCTAATCATTGATCCCAACTAAGAAGTAAAAAAAAGACAGTAAAAGAAACAAGATATCTACACATCTTATTTATAATATCTTCCACAATCACTGGAAAGATAGAATAAAATACCAACACATAATTTTGTATACTTTCAAAAGTAACGTATCTCAGTTATATAGCTCACTGATAGGTCATATTTATAATCGACATCTGTCATACTTAGGCTATCAAGTAATTGTCTCAGTACGACGGACTACCCTATATGTATCCTGAACTGTGTACACGGCTCATTAGTCTCATCGCGATCTCAGTGCATAACATGAGTGCGGGACGGACTACCAAATAGGCATCCTAGAAATACGACTCACGAGCCTCGTCGCACCCTAGTGCGGGACGGACGGCTAGATCAAGCCTCCTAAAATCCGACTCAATGGCCTGTACATGTGGAATATCGACGCACTACCTCATGTAGTACTGAACTGAGCTCATCAACGATATCCACCTCATATAAATCTTTGTACCTGTGGCATGTCTATGCACTATCCCATATAATACTGAGCTATGCTCATCAATGACAGTTACCTCATGTATAAACCGTGTATATCTGGTGTGTCAACGCATTATCCCATATAGTACTAAGTTGTGCTCATTAACGACATCCAACATGTATATGAACTATATCTAATTCAAATATGATGAAATCAAAATTCATCATAATCCCCTTAGGATTCTTAAATATATAACATAACATATTCATGACTATACGTGTTTGCGGGAAAAATTATGTTCTTCATTGATGTCATTGTTTTCTCAAGTAATTGCTTTTTGCTTACAAAAGATCCGGTCTTTTTATAAGATCCGGTTACAACAAAATCAAAGAAAAAGAAAAAAGATTACAACTTTCCTTTCGAACGAATCGCGAGCTCCTGTTTTGCGGTCACTCGTTTTTGTGGGTTCTTTACCAACGCCGGGGTTAATCCGTGGACCACCGCGTGATCTAAATCCGGTCGGATCTACGCAGTATGACGGGTATTATTCCGCAAAGGAAATAATAGCTGGGGGGATTAATTCACCAAGGAAATAATCGCCCTAGTTCTCGGGATCAAAGGCCAAGCTTTGATCCGGAGGATGACTACGTAGATCTGAGATCTGATCTCTCTCTTTCGAACTCCTGCCTTTTGTGACGTGGATGCTCGCCAAGAACCAGATCTGAATGTCCAAGTCTTCAAGTCTTCAAAACTCCAAGCTGAGTTCTCAATTCGGCAGAGTTTCGGCTCCAAAAGTTCCAACCCCTGAACAAATGAACCAAGCCCTCTATTTATAGGCTCTCTGAACTGTGCCCGCGCACAGATCTGGGCCGGCCACGTATAGGTGGTCGGGCCACCGAGCCCCTCTAGGTGTTGGGTTTCCGCTGTTTTCCGTCATTGTATCCGTTTTTCGGTTCTGTGGTTGATTTGTCTGGACTCGATTCGTTGACCTGATTTGGTAGTAAATCCGATTCCTGATTTGGCAGTAAATCCACTTCTGAGTTCGAGTCCGAAACTGATCTTGATTCGATCGTGATTCGTCCGAGTCCGCCTTTGGTTGGATGACTCTTTGACTCTTCGAACCCTTGGCTTGATTCCACACGCGAATGGATGTATTCTGTTGCTTGCGTGTGATTTGTTAA